GAGCATTCTGGCTCTCTAAGTGACAAAGCAGATTTATTTTACATTAATCACCTCATGTGCATGCCAAACTGGGCCATAAATATTGAAGACCAAAGAAGAATTCGTGCCTTTGAATTATGGTCTTGGTGACAGCAAGTTGGACCCAGAAGAACCACAAGAACACTCTGAGAAGGGAGGACGGGAGATTTTATCTCATTACTTCAGGCATGTTATCAGGAGGGACTGGTTCTGGTGTCTGGAGAGGGACGTTGTATTTGGTAAGCTGTGATGGTCAGTGAAAAAGAAGAGTCTTTAATGGATAGGTTGGCACAGGGCTACAACAAGAGGTTCAAACACAACAACAATCTGAACATAGTGCAAGACTGGGCAGTGTTGTGTGTGGTGGCCGTATGAGTAGGAACTGACTCTCTATTAGGACATCCAACAACACCTGTTCCCTTTCATGAACATTGGAGTGACGTGTGTTTGAGTTATTCTGATCTAAGCTCTCATTCTCTGTGTCTTCTCATTGGTCTCCAGGTAGTAGTTTGATCAGCTCCTGTCACATAAGATTAGCAATCAAAAAAACTTATTGAAGACTAAATCCCTAGCTGTCAGAGAGATGCAAATCAAAATAACTAAGAGATATCATCTCACCCCAGAAACAATAGCAAAGTTCAACAGGGCAGCAAACAACAAATGCTAGGAGGTTGTGGAGAGATTGGAACTCCTATTCACTGCTGGTGGCAATGTAAAATGGTACAGCCACTATGGAAGGTGGGCTGAAGCTTTCTCAAAATGTTGGCAATAGAAATATCTTTTGACCCAGCAATGCCACTACTGGGAATATACCCTAAAGAAACCAGAGCCATGACTCAGCTGCATGCACACCCATGTTCATTGCTGCATTATTCTGTGAATTTTTGAAAAATTACAATAGTTTTAGAAAGGCTTCAGGCCTTTTGTTCATAGGGTCACTATGAGTCATGCTCAACTCAATAGCAATCAACAACAACATTCACAATAGCAAAGACATGGAAGCAACCAAAGTGTCCATTAAAGAAAGGCTTGGAACAATGCTACAGGTCCTAATCCACAACATAAACAGTCTTCCAAGTAATCTGAAAAACCTATACCCAGGAGAAGATAAAACGGATGAATGGGATCTTCTAAGAATCAAATCCCTATGCATATCCAAAAACTTCTCCAACAGGGTAAAAAGGGAAGTCACAGACTGGGAAAAAGTATTTGGTAATGACATCTCAGATAAGGGATATCCAGAATTTATAAAATACTTGAGCACCACAACAAGATAAAGGTAAATAATCCAATAGAAAAATGGGCACAGGATATGAACAGACACTTCACCAAAGAAGACATTCAGATGGCTAATAAGCACATGAAGAAATGTTCAAAATCCCTAGCTCTAAGAGAGATGCAAATCAAAACAAGTATGAGATATCATCTTACCCCGGTCAGAATAGCAAAATTTAACAGAACAGCAAGCAACAAATTCTGGCGAGGTTGTAGAGAAACTGGAACCATTATTCATTGTTGGTGGGAGTGTAAAATGGTGCAACCACTGTGCAAGGCTGTATGGCGCTTTCTCAAAAAGTTGCAAATAGAGATACCATTTGACCCAGCAATTCCACTACTGGGAATATACCCCAAAGAGACCCTAACTGACATCCAAGCAGATATATGCACACCCATGTTTATCACGGCTTTGTTCACAATAGCAAGGAGTTGGAAACAACCTAAGTGCCCATCAACAAACGAATGGATAGAGAAGCTGTGGTATATTCACACAATGGAATACTACACTGCATTGAAAAGCAAGGAACTCATGCAATATTATTAAAAATGGGTGACCCTGGAGGACATTATGCTGAGTGAAGTATCTCAGTCACAAAAGGACAAATACTGCATGGTGCCACTGTTGTAAAGCAAGACTGACCTCGGGGTTTGGAGGAGACTGAGAAGGATGGGTTCAATAAAGTATACTGCATTGAAACAGATGAGGGAGAAAACTCTTTAAGAGGGAAAATTATTAGGGATTTTGTCATGATGGGAGTCCAGAGCGAAGGCTGTGTAGTGGAGTGGACCTTGGAGGAGGGACTGTAAAACAATGAAAGAATTTTTCTTTTACTTTTCCAAGAGGGTAGTGTACTAGAAGGGAAGGTTTGGAGGTGAGAAAAGTGCAACAATGAATGAATGGAAATCCAAAGTCACTGTAAATTTTCATTGAAATTAATACTAAATTAAAATATAAATAGCATAAACAAAAAAGAAAAAAATTGTCCATCAACAATCAAATAAAAAATTATGGTACATGCACACAATTGAATATTACACAGCACCGAAAAACAATGAACTTACACATTACACAACATGGGGAAGTCTGGAGGACATATATTGAGTGAAATATCTCAGTCACAAAAGGACAAATACTACAGAACACCATTGTTATAAAATTGGAATGGCAAGGGGTTTGGGGGGAGAACAGGCAAAGAGTGGATAGATAATGACCATTGCATTGGAACAGATGAGGGGAAGAATGATCTGAAAGGAATATCTGATTAGGTATTTTATATGTATGACAACAGTTTGGAACAAGAGGTGCATTACAAAGTGGACTGAGGGAGGGGAGAAAGAAGGGAAAATATAAAATGTGCAACAAAGAAAGAATAAATATGGAAAAAAGTGTAGTGATGACTTTCTGTAGAGAAGGTCAGCCTGTGTGACATTTGTGAGGTCATGGGCAAGAACACACACAAGACTTCACTGCCTTAGGAGTTGACTAGAAGTCCTTGTTTGAACTGTGGGTGTTACAGATTCAGTTGTGTCTCCCAAGATATGTGCTTTATAAACTAAGTGAAGGGATAGACAACATACAATAAGGATTTTATTGTTGTTGTTGTTGTTGTTAAGTGCTGTCGAGTCATAGGCGACTCATAGTGACCCTATGAACAAAAGTCCTCAATGCCTGTGTGACTTTCATCCTTTCTCCAGATTGTTCATAGGGTTTCTGGAAGCAAGGTATTGTGGAAGTGGATGCCACTCCTGCTTCCAAGCTTGTTTTAATCGGGGAGCTCCATGCTGTCAAGTCGACTGCAACTCACGGCAACCTTATTAATAACAGCTCTGAATCCTGTCCTGTCCTAAGCCAGTCTCACTGTTTCTGACATACCTGTCTCCATTGCCACAGCCACTGTGTCAAGCCACTTCATCCAGGATCTTCCTGTCTTGTGCTTCCATGCATGATGTCCTTCACTAAGGACTGGTCTCTTCTAGCTGCATGCTGAAAGTATGTGAGATAGAGTTTCAAAATCCTTGCCTCCATGGAGCAACTTGGTTTCACCCTCTCCAGTACAGACTTGTTTGTTCTCTTAGCAGTGCATGGTATGTTCAATACTCCTCCAGCACCACAAATCAAAGGCATTGATTTTCTTCTGTTACCGTTAGTTATTGTCCAGCTCTCTGATGCATAGTAAGTAATTGTGAAGGCCATGGCTTGGATTGGGTACACCTTAGTCTCTAGACTGACATCCTTGCTCTTTGGCTTCTGGAGAGGTTCCTGACAGCCCTTTCCTAATGTATATTAGTCAACTTAATCACTGCACTGTGGCCCAAGTCCCAGTTGTGTGATTTATTGCCTTTGAAAATACACTGGAGGGTCAGCTGTGAGTCAATTCTGACTTGATGGCACATAACAGCAACAACAACCCTCATTGGCTGCGGTGAGGAAGCACTGTAGAGTAGCTTCGTGGTGAGGGCTGTAATAGGGTTGCATGGGAACTGCACCTGGAATTTACCAGGCTGAGGTATATGGGAACTTGGAGGTATATGGACCCTACCACTTGCATAAATGAACAGCAATTTTTCCACTAAATTCCACTTCTTGTTCAAGACACACTGCCCCTGTAAAAAGGCAGGTTATTTGGTGTTGATGGGATGGAGGGTCTAGTGACATCCGCTAAGATGTGCCCTTTGATTTAAAGAGTGAAAGAAAACAGCAGAAAAGGAAGCCAGTCTTGATTGGATCAACAGTCAATATCCAGCAGTCAGGAGATCAGGAGACATATTGCATTGGGCAAATTGTCTGTCAGGGATCTCTCCAAGTTACTGAGGAGTGATTATGTCAGTCTGAAGACTAAGTGTGCCTGATCCAAGCCACAATCTTTTCAATCGCTTGCTGTGCATCAGAGAGCTAGACAATGAACAAGAATGACAGAAGAAGAATTGATGCCTTTGAGTTTCTCCAATATTCTTGGTGAAGAGTATTGAACATCTCATGGATTGCCAAAGAAACAGTCAAGTATGTCTTGATATAAGTGCAGCCAGAGTATCCTTGGAGGCAAGGATGAACGGCAAGGCTCTGTCTCTCATACTTTGGACATATTGCTAGGAGAGACTATTGCTTGGAAAGGGAAATCATTCTTGGAAAGGTGGAAGGTCAGCTAAAGAGAGGAAGACATCCCCTCCTCAGCAAGCTGGATTGACAAGGCGACTGCCGCAGTGAACTCAAGGGTGTCAGAGATGGTGAAGATGGCACAGGATAGGACAGAGTTCAGATCCATTGTCCATAGGGTTATCATGAGTCCTACGTGACTTGAAGGCATCTTACAACAGCATTTTTCCAAGAACGTGCTTTGTCTTGGAATTTACAAGGGCACAGGGCGCATCCCCCCAACCCTGCTCCAATCATGACCACGCCCTCCCTGCTGTCGGACCCGCCTTCTGCCACTCCCCCGGCCCAGGCCCCGCCTTCCCGAGCCCTCGTGGGGCTGGGAAGGGGGGCGGTATCCTGGACGCCCATTGGTCCTCTCCCTCCTGATTTTCGTGGGCGGGGCTGGAAGATGACGTAACCCAGGTGGTTCCCAAGGCGGCGCGGCAGCCGAGGGCTCCAGGAGGCGCGCAGGCGCGGGCCAGAGCAGCCCGGGTTCGCGCCCCGCCCGGCATCCAGGACTCGCACCTGGAACTCAGCTGCCTGGCCGGACCTGACCCGCCCCGCCGCCGCCATGTACGACTTGGAGCGTGGCTGGAACCTGACCTTCGTGGGCTGCGGCTTCCTGGCCTTCTACTACCTCGGGGTGACCCGCTGCCTGAACGAGCGCGCCCCGCACCTGATCCGCGACGCCCGCAGGTTCTACTGCTCCTCGTCGGGCGCGTTGTTCTGCGTCGCCGTTCTCAGCGGGTTTCCGCTGGGTAAGTCTGCCCGGTGCCTGCTCCAAGGGAGGGCGGTCCTGGCCAGGGCGCACGACCCCGGGGCCATGGGCTCTCCATCCTCGAGGCTCCTGGTCTGCGACACGGGCGCTCTGGCTGAGCCTTCGAGCTTGCACCCCGAGCTCCGTCTGTGGCAGGCATGACTGGGGGCGCAGGAGAGGCTCCTCTGCGCGTGGGATCTTGCACCCTTAAACGGGCCTCAGTGCAGAGGTGACAAGGTCGGGCTTGGAGAGACCTCCGACCCCCCCACCCCGAGACAGTGCAGGGTCTTCTGGGAGGATGGAGAGGAACGTGGAGGTTGAAAGTGACTGCCCCATGCGCTGCACGCACACGCTCAGGGAGCTGATGCCATCCCCTGCATTCAGTACCTGCTTTTGTCCTTGGCCTTACCTTTGATCTCTAAGTAGGTGCCTTCCACCGTGGGCACTGACTGGAACTGGAGACCCGCTGGTCCCAAGTCGCGCCTGAGGAACGAGGTTGCTGGCTTGATTGCTGCATCCATAGGGTGTTCATTGTGTGAGGGGATAAAAGTTGTCCTCTCCTCCCATGTTAGCGACTCCTGAAGTGGATCTCATTTCTCCAGAGTGGGAGGGGTATCCCCCACCATCCCCCCTAGTCTCAGTGACCTGGGCCAGCACCCCTTCCCCAGGCTAGTTCCCACTCACATCACTTTGCTCCCAGAAGTGAGGTCCTGGAGGGGCTGAGGTCTGTGCCTGTAACTACCACACCTATCAGCCTGAAATTCTGAGCCTGGAAGTAGCCGGGGCAAGTGACATCTGGTTCCCAAAGGTCCCCAGGCACACAAGTAACACCCCTGATCAGCTCAGTTGCGAGGATTATACAGGCTACTCTGTGTTCTGTCCAGTGACCACATGGACAACTCATGTTGTTGTTATTGTTATGTGCCGTGGTGTTGCCTACAACTCAGCAATCCTGTGTACAACAGCTCTGAACCCTGCCCTGTCCTGAGCCAGTCTCACTGACTCCAACACATCTGCCCTAATTGCTCCAGTTACTGTATCAATCCATCTCATTCAGGGTCCTCCTCTCCTGTGCTGTCCCTCCACCCTTCTGAGCATGATGTCCTCTCCAAGGACTGGTCTCTCCTGGCCATGTGCCCAAGGTATGTGAGGCAGAGCTTCAAAACCCTAACCTCCAAGGAAAAACTTCATTTTACCCTCTCCAAGACAGACTTCGTTTCCTTGGTGGCCCATGATATGTTCAAGACCCTTCTCCAGCATCACAGCTCAAAGGCATCAATTCTTCTGTCATTCTTAGTCATTGTCTAGCTCTCTGATGCGTAGTAATTGTGAAGACCACGGCCTGGTTCAGACGCAACTTAATCTCTAGATTGGTATCACTGCTTTTCAGTACTCTGGAGAGGTCCCTGACAGCACATTTTCTTTTTGTCTTTTGATTTCCTGCCTGCTGGTGTCAAGAGTGTTGATTATGGAGCTGAGCAAGCTGTAATTGTTAACCACCTTAATCTCTTTTCCATCCGTCGTAGTGCTGCCAGTTGGCCCAGTGGTGAGAATCTTTATCTTCTTGATGTTGAGCTTCAATTCATGTTGAAGACTACAGTCCTTGACCTACTGCAGCAAGTGCTTCTGGGAAGTGATTTCGCTTCTAATGGTCAAGATTCTCTGCCATTAGGCAAGACCAGTGAAGAGATCCTAGCTTGAGAGGAGGTGGGGACTGGAAGAGAGGGAACATTGCTGTCTGGCTATATATGTTTGCTGTCCTGGGCCCTCTTGAGAGATTACACTGGTTTCTTGCCTTATTTATACTCTTGATATTAGGTGTCTTTGTTGTTGTTCTGTGAAACTGAGTCAGAAGTAACTCATAGCTGACCCTCTGGCAGGTTTTCAGAGACTATATAAATCATTGTTGTGTACTGTCAGGTCGGAACTGACCCGTAGCTGTTCTGCTGGTTGGTTTTCAGAGGCAGTTGATGGCACTGGAGGAGATTGCTCAGCCTTCTCCCACAGAGCAGCTGGTGTAATCAAACTGCATGCCTTTGGGATTGCAAGGCAGCTTCATGCCACGAGGCAGTGGCAGAAGAAATAGCACATCTTTCCTCAGTGGACCAGCTGCTGGATTCAAAGCACATGCCTTTGGCTTGAGAGCACAGCTGCTTAGCCCTAGGTCACCAGAGTCAGTTCCAACTCACGGCAACTTCAAGTGCAGTAGGACGAAACGCCGGCCAGGCCTGTGCCATCTTCCCAGGCACTGCCAGTCCATCTCGCGTCTTGCCAGTCCTCTTGCTCGTTGACCACCTGCCAAGCATGGTGTCCTTCTGCACGGACGTGCCCACAGTGTGTGGGGTGAGTTGTCACCATGCTCACGCCTAACGAGCATTGTGACTGTACTTCCAAGACAAATGGATTTCTTTTCCTGTCAGTCCACGGTACGCTCAGAAGTCATCATCAATGTTGTTGTTGAAAGGCATCAATTCTTCGATGGGAAGTTGAAAACAAAGAAGGATCAGTAGTTGGAAAATACGTCCTTGGTGATATAAACAGTCCTGGGGGACGGGGTATCACATGGTTCAATTTTACAAGACCCGACTTATTCATTGCAAATACCTTTTTTCAACTACATAAGTGACGACTATAGAACTTGCTGGAAAGAATACACAGGTATCAAATAGACTACGTCTGTGGACTAAAATATCGGAGACATTCATTATTATCAGGCAACATGAGCATAGGGATTGACTGCAGAACAGACCATCAATCACTTATAAGCAAAGTCAAGTGGATGTGGGAAAATTGAAAACAAGAGAGCCAGTTGTTGTTGTTTAATGCCGTTGAGTCGTAGACGACTCATAGCGACCCTGTGAACGAACAGCCTGAGCACTGTTCGTACATAGAGTTTTGGGAGGCAAGCCATTTCGGAAGTGGATGCCACTCCTGCTTCCAGGCTTGATTTAGTCAGGAAGCTCCAGCCAACACTGTCCACCATGGGTGCCCATTACCACAATTGGCACATCACTGTCACAGGCTTCAGCATCACAGCAACCACGAGTTACCTCTGTACAGCAACGCACAGACCAGTGCTATACCACCTAGAAGAATGTTTGACAGGAAGACAATTTGAACCTGGCTGAGGGCCACAGATGACAGTCACCCACCTTCGGCTTGGTAGCACAGCTTCCTTCCACTAGGCCAACGTAGCTCTCTCTTGGTCGTCGTCATTGTTGTTGTTGTTTAATGCCGTCGAGTCGTAGACGACTCATAGCGACCCTATGAATGAACAGAAGAGAGCCAGAGTAGGGTCATAATCATATCCCACCTGACTTTAAAGACCATTGTAAAAATAAGTTTGACACATTGAACTTTAATGACTGACATGTAGGCAAGGTGTGAGATGACATCAAGGGTGTCTTACATGAAGAAAGCAAAATGGTCATTAAAAAGACTGTTTAAGAAAGAAAAGAACAAAGCGATTGTCAGAAGAGACTCTCCAGTTTGCTGTTAAACAGATTTCAAAGGGCAGCTTTGAAAGACGGTGTTGAATTGAAATGCACCGAGATCCAAAGCATGTTGCATTGCAGTGAACCGGAATGCACTTGATGGCATCAAAATCAGTTTTTCTCCTGTCTTTTCTTTTTTGTCTGGTTCTTTAGACCCACATATGAAGCAATGGAAAATACCATGGAATAGGGCCAGACACACCTAAGTCCTCAAAGTGACATCTCTGCTTTGCAACACCTTTGCCTGGTGCAATCCATCATTTGATTTCTTGACTGCTGCTTCCTGAGGCATCAACTCTTGAGCCAAGAAAAATGAAATCCTTCCCACTTTAATCTTTGTTTCCACTCGTCGCGATGCTGCCTCTTGGTCCAGCTGTGAGGAATTGGATTTTCTTCATGTTGAGCTGTAATCCCTACTGCAGGTTTTAGTCTTTGATCTTGAGCGTTTTCAAGTCCTATTGATTTTCTTTTTCTTTTTTTTTTAATTGTATTAATTTTACATGTACCGTCAAATCAGATCTGACCGGTACAGGAGGAGATTGCCCCCTCCTTCTCCAGCAGAGCATCTGGTGGATTTGAACCATGTACCTCTGGGATCTCAGTACAGCGTCTTGCCACTAGGCCACCAGAGCTCCCTGATTTTCAATAAGCAAGTTGGTGCTCAGGTGGATTATAGGCTGGTCTTCCTCTGACCTCTCTTTGTTCATATATATCTTGTGACTCTGTTATTTTGTGTTAGGTGCCGTTGAGTCGAGTGTGACTCACGGCGACCCAATGAACAACAGATCAGAATCCTCTCCTGTGCCATTCTCATCATCCCATTGCTGCAGTCACTGGTCTTCTCTTTTGCTGACACTCCATCTTTTCAAGCATGGCATCCTTCTCCAAAGCATAGCCTTTCTTAACAACATGCCCAAAGTATGTGAGATGAAACTTTGCTATCCTTGCCTCTAAGGAGCACTCTGGCTGCACTTTCTCCAAGACACTTCTGTTTGTCTTAGACATAATCCTTTTCTCTGAGGAAACAAGCCCTTGGTGACATTTGGATGGAGTAGCCAGGTCTTCTTAGCTTTGACACACCTTCTTTGAGTCTATCTGAGCTGAGGTGACTTTGTGTATGTGCAGTCTCATCCCTTGTGCTCAGCCTAGGAAGGAGAGGAGGAGGTGGAGATCAGATTTGCCTCGGGACACCTGAGGCCTGGGACTTCTGGCCAGCTGAGTCTCGGGCTGGGTGTTCCAGGGAACTTGAATTCTCAGCAGGGCAGTTCAGCTAGAGAGGACTGGAACTAAATGTGATCAGATGACAGGTCATGATTACGCATGAGCCTACTCTTGTTGGTTTGAGGAGCAATGATGTCACTTTGAGGACTAAGGTGTGTGCCTGATCCAGACCATGGTCTTTTCAGTCATTTGCTAGGCATTTTGAGAGTTGGAGAGTGAAGAAGGATGACAGAAGAAAAATCAAAGTCTTTGAGCTGTAATGTTGGAGAAGAGCACTGAACATCCAGTGGACTATCAAATTAACCAATAGATACGTCTTGGAGAAAGTACAACCAGAGGGCTCCTTGGAGATAAAGATGGCAAAGCTATGTCTCACATACTTTGGGCACGTTGCTATTAGAGGCTGTTTCTTGGAGCAGGATTTCATGCTTGGAGGGACAGCAGAAGAGAGGAAGACCCTCAACCAGGTGGATTGACACAGTGACTGCAGCAATGGGCTCCTGTGTGTCAGGGAGTGTGAGGATGGCGCAGGACGGGACAGAGTGCAGACCTGCTGTTCACAAGGTTGCTGTGAGTTGTATTCGACTGCCCGGCACCTGACAACAACAACAACAACAGCTCTAGTTAGTGTTAGCTGGGGTCAGGTCAGCCCCTGGGTGGGTTACTATTCTGTTTACAGTCCAGTCCTGCAGGGAGCCTTCGTTAGATGACTTTTAATACTTTGTTGTTGTGTACCCTCGAGGGGGAACCGACCCATAGCTGATCCTCCGGAGGGTTTTCAGAGGCAGTAAATTGTACACAGGAAGTGGATCGTCTTCCTCCTCTGGAGCAGCTGGTGGATTTGAACTACATACCTTTGTGCTGGCAGTTTGAATGAAGACCAGATGAGCTGTGGGAAGATACCAAGAATATCATCCATGAAGAATGCAAAAGGTCATTACAGAGACAGAGGAGGAAGAGAAGACTGAGGTGGATGTGAGTTGAGACTCTTGAAGAAGTCAAGATATTAAGGGGCTGAACAGATTTCTAACGGCAGCTCAGGAAGAAAAAGAAAAGTATTATAATGAAATGTGCAGAGAGCTGGAGTCAGAAAATCAAAGGGGCTGAACTTGCTCGGCGTTTCTTAAGCTGAAGGAACTGAAGAACAAATTCAAGCCTGGAGTTGCAATACTTAAGGACGCTTTGGGCAGAATATTAAATGATTCAGGAAGCATTAAAAGAAAATGGAAAGAATATACAAAGTCATGGTACCAAAAAAAATTGGCGGAGACAGAAGAATTTAATGCAACAATATATGAGCAAGAGCCTGTGGTGATGGAGGAAGAAGTTCAAGCTGCTCTGAAGGAATTGGCAAAAAACAAGGCCCCAGGAATTGATGGCACACCAACTGATATATCTCAACAAACAGAAGCTGCCCTGGATGTGCTCACCAAGTTGTGCCAAGAAATCTGGAGGACAACCACCTGAAATGTAGAGGACAACCACCTGGCCAACTGACTGGAAGAGATCTATATTTGTTCCCATTCCAAAGAAAGGTGACCTGACAGAGTGTGGAAATTACCGAACAATATCATTAATATCACATGCAAGCAAGATTGTGCTGAAAATTTTCCAAAAATAACAAACAGCACATCAAGAGAGAACTGCCAGATGTGCAAGCTGGGTTTAGAAGAGGCCGTGATACCAGGGATTTTAGAGCTAATGTTAGGTGGATCTTGGCTGATACCAGAGAATACCAGAGGAATGTCAATCTATATTTCATTGACTATGTATAGGTATTTGACTATGTGAATCACAACAAACTGTGGCTGACTCTGAGAAGAATGGGAATCCCAGAACACTTGATTGTGCTTATGTAAAAGCTGTACTTGGACCAGGAGACAGTCATTAGAACAGAGTAAAGAAACTGCATGGTTCAAGATTGGGAAGGCTGTATGCCAGGGATGTGTCCTGTCTCCATACCTTTTCAATCTATATGCAGAACAGATCATCCGGGAGGCTGGGTGACTTGATGGCACATAACAACAAGGAATGTCCTAAACCACTTAGAGCACCTATATTTTTAAATAAGTATATTTAATATATTTAATTCTATGTATTCCAAACATCATTTTCACTTCAGGTTGTTGTTGTTGAGTACAACTCATACCAACCCTGTGAACGATAGATCTGACCTCCGTCGTGTTCTGCACTGGACTTATCATCCTCAATACATTTGAGTCCATTGCGGCAGACACTGTATCAATCCATCTCACTGAGGACTTCCTCTTTACTGACCCTCCACCTTCCCAAGCATGATGCTCTTTTCCAAGGAATACCATCTCCTAACAACATGTCTAAAATATGTGAGGTTCTTTTGCAGTCCCTGGGATACTCAGCACTCTTCTCCAGCACCACAGCTCAAATTCATCTGTTCTCCTGTCATCCTTATTCCTTGTGCAGTCCTTATATGTATAGCAGGTGATTGGAAAGACTGTGGCCTGAATCCGGGACACTTTACTCTTTGAACTGAGCTCATTCCTCTACAGCCCTTCGGAGAGATGCTTGACAGCAGACTTGCTTATTGCTGTATAACCCTGATCCCCTGATTGCTGCTACCAAGTGTACTGGTTGTGAATCCGAGTGAGAGTAAATCATGGACAATGTCAGTCTTTTCTCCGTATCCAGTGGTGAAGAATTTTGTTTTCTTGATGTTGAGATGTCATCCATATTGAAGGCTGCCGTCCTTAATCCTTTGCAGCAAGCACTTCAAGTCTTCCTAACTTCCAATAAGCAAGGTTGTGGCATGTGCATAGCACAGATTGTTGATGAGTCTTCATCTGCCCCTGATGCCGCATTCTCCTTCACGCAGTCTAGGTTCTTGAATTACTTGCTCAGCATATAAATTGAACAGATGTGGTGAGAAGATACAACCCTGACACACTTCTGATTTTAAACAATGCAGGGTTCCCGGGCTCTATGTGAATGACTGCTTATAGGTGAGACAAGAGCACAACTGAGTGTTCTGCAATTCCCATTGTTGCTGTTGCTGTTTTTAAGTGCCGTCAAGTCTCAGGCGACTCATAGTGACCCTATGAAGGAGAGTCCTCAACACTTGTGTGTCTCTCATCCTCTTTCAAGGTTCATAGGGTTTCTGGAGGCAAGCTATTATGGAAGTGGATGCCGCTCCTCCTTCCAAGCTTGTTTTAATTGGGGAGTTTTACCCAACACTGTCCACCATGTGTAACCAAACATTAACGCATTTAACACATCAGCGTCACGGTGTTCAGCCTCACAGCAACCACAAGTTACTGGTGTATGGCAATGGACACACCAGGGCTACATGACCTAGAGGAATGTCTGAACAAAAACAATGAAATACAGGCCCGAGGGCTGTGGATTAAAAGTCACCCACCTTCGGCTTGGTAGCATTGCCTTCTGTCCACTGGGCCAGCTGATCTCTCTCTCTCTGTTGATGTTGTTGTTAAGTACCTTTGAGTCGCAGGTGACTCATAGCGACCATATGAAGGAGAGTCCGCAACGCTTGGGTGTCTTTCATCCTCTCTCCAGGTTCATAGGGTTTCCACAGGCAAGCTATTAAGGAAGTGGATGCCACTCCTCCTCCCAAGCTTGTTTTAATCGGGGGGTTTCACCCAACAGTGTCCACCAGGAATTCTCATTATTCATCATTTTTCTTTGAATCCATACAGTTGGAGGCCCTTGAATAGTGATAAAGTACATCTTCCTCTGATTCCAGCTGGAGTCCGTCTGACATCAGCAATGATAACCCTCGTGTCACGGTCTCTTCTGAATCCAGCTTGAGTTTCTGACAGTTTCCCTGTCAATTTCCTACTCCACCCATTTTTCATAATCTTCAGCAAGACCTTACCCACTCCCTTCCCCCGTATGTGTGTGTGTGATTCTATTGTTTGATCTCCATTGTTTGATTCTATTGTTTGATGGCCACATGTGACTGCTGGACACCTAGGGCTAGTGGACAGGCTGACACTTCCTTGCCTTCTGCATTCTGAATGGTGGCAGTGCCTCTGCCATCTCTGGCACCTTCTCAGTGGTCCTTCCATCCTTCACCCTTCTGGACCTTCACGGTGTGTTTCTCTCCCACCCCCAGACCGGACTGTCAAGCTCTTATTCGACATGGTCTTGATGGTCAGGAGTTACAAGCTTGGACTCTTCCAGCCGTCCTTCAACATACTGAAGTACCTCCAGGACCAGTACCGCAAATACCTTCCAGATAACATCCACCAGCGGATCTCGGGCAGGATCTTTATCTCACTCACCAGGGTGCCCGACGGGGAGAACGTGCTGGTTTCTGACTTCAGGTCTAAAGAGGAAGTCATAGAGGTAAGGAGTTGACTTACCTGGGTATTGTCCTGTGTGGCAGGCACTGGAAGCCATACAAGGGACCTCAGCTCATAAGACGCAAAAGGCTGCATGGGTGGGTGCTGGTTTGCCTAGTGCATTGGTGTGTGCCATCACGTCAGAACCAACCCATAGCTGACCCACCAGTGGGTTTTCAGAGGCAGTAAATCTCATAGGAGGAGAATGCCCAAACTCCCATGGAGCAGCGGGTGGATTCGACCTGCATACCTTTGGGATTGCAGCACAGCTTCTTAGCACTAAGCCACCAGAGCTCTTGGAGGGCATTAGAACGGCAAAAAAAATGCACAGCCATGTTTATTGCTGCATTATTCACAATAGCAAAGAGGTGGAAGCAACCCAAGTGCACACCAACAAACAAATGGATAATAACACTATGGTACACACAATGGAATACTACACAGCATTGGAAAACAGTGACCTTGTAAAGCATTATACAATATGGGGACATTATGCGAAGTGAAATAATCTCAGTCACAAAAGGACCACTTATAAAATAGGACAGACATGGGAGGGAGTTGGGAAGGAGACAGGAAAAGAGTGGAGAGATAATGAACACTGGATTAGAACAGATTACAATGAACTGTCAGAAGGGAATAGATGATTGGATGTTAGATGTACAACAGAAAGATCAGGGAATGCCTGTGGGGTGGGTGGGAGGAGCGGGACAGGGAGGAAGAAAATGTGCAACGAGGGAAACAAGAATAAATATTAAAAAAGCTTGAAGTCTGACTGCATCTGATTCCTGCTTTGTAGCATCGGTTTTGTGTTAGGTGCCAGGGAGTTTGCTCTGACCCATAGAGACCCCGTGTCCCACAAATCAAAGCCTTGCCATCTCCTGTGCCCCCCCCCCAGTCTCTGCTCTTCGTACGCCTGTTGTTTCATTCCCTGTCAGTCTACCTCGGTAAGGGTCTCTCTCTTTTGATGACCCTCCACCTCTCCCAGGATGTATTTTTCCAAGGACTCTCAGTATGTGAGATAAAAAATCTCACCATTCTTGCCCCTAAAGAGCTCTCTGGCTGCATGTCTCTAAGACAGATCTGTTTGTTCTTTAGGAAGTCTGTGAGCTCTTATTAAACAAACGTACATGTACTCTTTTGAAAGTTTGCAGTTGTTGGGTGTCACCAAGTCACTTATTAACTCAGTGGTGCTATGAACAAGAGATATGAATGTTGATGTGCCCACTGTTATACTCACTTTATCAGCACACCTTGTTGGGGGTCTTCCTCTCCATCCCTGACCCTCTACCCTTTTTTTTTTCTATAGTCTTTTATTTTTTTCCATTCATTCATTGTTGCACTTTTTTCCCTGCCCTCTCCTCCCCCACCCAGTTCATTTTTCTCTTTGAAAAGTAAAGTTCTTTCATTGTTTTACAGTCCCTCCCCCCCAGTCCAGTCCACTGTGTAGCCTTCACTCTGGACTCCTATCATGACAATAATACCTAATCACATACCCCTTTTAAACACTTTGCTCCCTCATCTGTTTCAATGCAGTATACATTATTTATCCCATCTTTCTCATTCTCCCCCCAACCCCAATGCCAGTCCCATTTTACAACAGTGGCACTAGGCAGTATTTGTCTTTTTGTGACTGAGATATTTCAGTTAGCATAATGTCCTCCAGGGTCACCCATTTTGAATAATATTGCATGAGTTGCTTGTTTTTCAATGCATAATATTCCATTGTGTGACTATACCACAGCTTCTTTATCCATTCATTTGTTGATGGGCATCTGCGTTGTTTCCAACTCTTTGCTATTGTGAATAAAGCCTCGATAAATGTGGGTGTACATATATCTGCTTGGGTGGCGGTGACCCTCTACCTTTCGAAGCGTGAGACCCTCTTTGAAGGACTAGCCCTTCCTGGCAACATGCTCGAAGTAGGCGAGCCTGAGTTTCAGCATCCTTAACCTTATGAAGAGCCTGGTTGTGCTTGCTCCAAGACAGACTTCTTTGTTCTCTTGGCCGTCCATGGATAGTCAGTGCTCTTCTCCAGCACCACAGCTCAAAGGCATCCATTCTTCTATCATCCTTCGTCATTGGCCAGCTCTCTAATGCGTAGGAAGTGATCACAAAGACCACGGCTTGGATCAGGCACACCTTCGTCTTGTTCTGTAGCCCTCTGGAGAGGTCTTTAACAGCAGATTTCCCCAAGCAACACATCTTTTGAAAGAATATTTCCTTCTTCAACGTTAGGAAGCTCAAGTGTTGACTCAGCACCACTGTAGAACAACCCGTGTGTCTGTTGGTTCTGGAGTGAAGTCCTTGTTTCTTTGTGCATCTGGAGGCCCGGCCTTCCTTAGAGATTTCCCCAGGCCCTGACCTTCCTCAGTGTCTAGGAGCTAGAACAGGAGCCTGGATCCGGAAGGATGCAGCCCGGTGCTAGCGATTATTAGTCGGTGGTACCGAGGTCGCCTCTCCACCCTGGCCTGGCTTCCTTTCCTCTTTATTTTACAGCCCACACCCTCTAGAAACTTCCCTCACTGTGGTGGCATTACAGAGGGTTGCATTTTACCCATAATTCTCTTCATCAATGGAGAAGAAATATTAGCAGTTGCCCCCACGCCTAGTCACTCCCCAGGAAACCTGGTGTTTCAAGGGCGGCCAGGACAGAGCAGGCCAGACGATAGATCATGTTAAGGCTCTGGGCCTCATCACGAAGTCCTGACCTGAGTTAATTAACAACCCCAAATTCCAAGAGGTACCATCTGTTCAGCTGTGAGGCTGAGCACTGTGACACTGATATGTCAAATGGTTGGTTACCCAATATAGACGGAGTGGGGTGGAGCTCCCCAATTAAAACAAGCTTGGAAGCAGGAGTGGCATCCACTTCCTTAATAGCTTCCCTCCGGAAACCCTATGAACATGGAGAGAGGATGAAAGACACCCAAGCGTCGAGGACTCTCCTTCATAGGGTCGCTTTGAGCCACCTGCGACTCGACGACACTTAACAACAAACAAGAACCATCTTCCCTAGCCTTCCCCAAGACCCCTATAAAAAGAGACCACCCGAATTGCAAGCATGCCATTCTGACTTCCTCCGCTCCTGGTCACTTTGGCGTCCCTCTCAGACCATGCAATAAAGGCCTGTTTGTTTCTTGGGACCAGTTTCTTTCTTTCTCTCTTTCACCCTTGGATCCTTTTCTAACAATCATCATACTCAATTATCCTGTAGTTTCCAATGATCTGTCATTGTTGGTGTTGGTGTTGTTAGGTGTCGTTGAGACAAATAAGACTCAGAGACCCGATGGACAGCAGATCTGAACCTTGTCCCATCCTGGGCTGTACTCACAGTTTCTGACACACTCAAAGCCCATTGCTGCCGTCACTGTGTCAGTCCATCATGCAGAGGGTCTTCCTGTCTTTCCCTGATTCTCTGCCTTTCCAAGTACGATTTCCCTCTCCAAGGAATTGCCTCTCCTCGCAACATGCGTAAAATATGTGCAACAAAGCTTCATCATCGTTGCCTCCAAGAAGCATTCTGGCTGCACCTTCTCCAGGTCATATCTTTTCATTCTCTTGGCCGTCCATGGGATATTCGGTACTCTTCTACAACACCACAGCTCGAAGTTCTTCTGTCATCCTCATTCATTGTCTGGTTCTCAGATGCATACCAAGTTATTGAAAAGATCGTGGCATGAATCAGGCACACCTTAGTCCTCAGACTGCCATCATTGCTCCTCCGTAATTTGGTGAGGTCCCTGACTGCAGACTTTCCCGGTGCAGTGTGTCTCCAGATCTCCTGACTACTGGTACCAAGGGTGTTGATTGTGGATCCAAGTAAGATGCAGTAAACTTCTGTTGGGTTTGGTTATGTACCGTGGCGTTTGAACCATAGCAGACTCTCCGTCAGATTTTCGGATTTGGTAAATCACATGGGAGGAAATGGCCCATCTTGCTCCCTTTAAGAGAAGCTGGTAGATTTGAACCAGGAGCCTTTGGGCTGGCAGCACACCTCCCTACCACTAACCCAGCACAGAGTTCAATCTGTGACAGCAGTCAACACCTGTCCCTATCACCTGCTCTCAGTGAAGCAGGCTCTGCATCACTTGGGAGCGTGTCACAGTACAGCTCTCATGCTGGTCTCTGTCAGCTGCATCAGAACATTGGACCAGAGCGCTGGACCAGCTGTGCTCGATGGTACTAAGCGCCAGTGGAGCTCCTTCCTGGGCATCGCTGAGCTGACGGTGCTGCTACCACTCTTGTGTGGGAGGCGCATATGTCAGATGTTTATGTTTAAACACATGTGTGCATGCTGGTTCCTTATCTCCCACTCAGCCTGTTTGCTCAAGCTCTTTATCTGTGTGCAGAGCTTCCTCCTTTTTGTTGTACACATGACCTCGATAAGAGCAGGTGGTGGTGCAATTGATTGAACACTTACTTACTAACCAAAGCCTCTTCACAGGACTAAGGATCAGTGGTGTCAGTTTAAAGTCTAAGGTGCACCTGATTCAGCCCGTGATCGTCACAGTCACTGACTACGCATCAGAGAACTGGACAGGGACTAAGGGTGACAGAAGAATCATGGATGCCTTTGAGCCGTGGGATTGGAGAAGAGCACTGTACATCTCATGGACGGCCGACAGAACAAACAGATCTGTCCTGGAGAAGGTGCTCCTTGGAGGCGAGGATGGTAAAGCTTCATCTCACATACTTTAGACATGTTGTTGTCAGTGCCTTTGAGTTGAGTGCTACTCATAGCGACCCTACCAACAACAAATGTGACCCTTTCCTCCCTGTACCATCCTCACAATCTCTGATACACTTGAGTCCATTACTGTAATCACCTGGGTCCTCTCCTTCGCTGTCCTGACACATTTCCAAGTGTAATATCCCATAGGTGACACAAAACTTTATCATCTTTGCCTCCAATGAGTACTCTGTCTGCATTTTCTCTAAAACATCTGAATCAGGTGCGCCTTAGTCCTCAAACTGGCATCATTACTCCTCAATAATTTGCACAGATCCCTGACTGCTGGCACCAAGTGTATTTACTGATTGTGAATCCAAGTAAAATGAAGTCATTGACAGTTTCAACCTTTTTTCCATCTATCATGATGTTTCCTATGGTCTAGTGGTGAAGAGCTTTGTTTTCTTGATGTTGAGATGCAATCCATATTGAAAGCTGCAGTTTGATCTTCTGCAGCAAGTGCTTCAAGTCCTTCTCACTTTCAACAAGCAATATTGTGTCATCTGCATAATAAAGGCTACTGATGAGTCTTCCTGCAATCCTAACCCACATTCTTCATAGATTCCAGCTTCTCGAATAATTTGTTCAGCATACAAATTGAGTAAGTATGAAGAAAGGAAACAACCCTGACACACACCTTTCTTAATTTTACACCGTTTAGTGTTCCCTTGCTGTCTTCACACTACAGCCTCTTGGTCTAAGTCTGGGTTCCACATGAGCCAAGGAAGTGTTCTGGGATTCCCATTCTTCTCAAGGTCAGCCATAACACACAGTCGAATGCCTTTGCAAAGTCAATAAAGCACAGACAGATGTTCTTCTGGTATTCTTTACTTTCAGCCAGGATCCGTCTGATATCAGTAATGGTGTTCCTGGTGCCATGACCTCTTCTACATCCTGCTTCAACTTCTGGAAGTGCTCAATCTATGCACTGTTCTAGCCGATTTGGAATGCTCTTCTGCAGTATGATGTTTACATGTGATATCGATGTTGTTCAATAATTTTCATATTCTGTTGAGTCACCTTTCTTGGAAATGGGAACAAATATGACTCTCCAGTCAGTGGCCAGAAAGCTGTCCCCCAAATTTCCCGGTATATACTATTGTGCATGTCCAGGGCTGCGTCGGTTGGTTGAAACATGTCAATTGGTATCATGTTGATTCTTGTGGCCTCTTTTTTTGGCCAATGTCTTCAATGCAGTTTCATCTTCTTCCTCCATTACCCCTGGCTCTTGATCATAGGATATTTCCTGAAATATTTCAGCACTGACCCATTCTTTTGGTATCTCCATCTTTCTCTGATGCTTCCTGGATCATTTAAGATTTTGCCCAGAGCGTCTCTAAGTCTTGCAACTCGTAGTTAGGAGAGGCTGTTCCTTGGAAAAGGACATCATGCTTGGAAAGCCCAGCGAAGAGAGAAGAGCGAGCCTCGAGGTGGGCTGACGGTGACTGCAGCAGGGGCTCGGGTGTGTCAGAGATGGTGAGGAGGGCACGGTAGGCCAGGCTCCAGGGTCAGCTTCTCAGGGTCACTATGAGTTGCACTTGACGGCTCCTAGCAACAGCTAACTCAAAGGTTGGTGGTTCGGAGATGCCTTGGGAAAAATGGCCTGATGGTCCTCTGAAAGATCACACACTTCACACCCTGTGGGGTGCTGACTTGTTCTGCACGTATAGATGTTTATGAGTCAGAACAGAGAGCAGGGAACTCTGGTGGCCTAGTGACAAGAAGCTGCACTGCAATCCCAGAGATGTGTGGTTCAAATCCACAGATGCTCTGCTGGAGAAGGAGGGGCAATCTTCTCTGGTACCAGTCGGATCTGATTTGACGGAACACACACAAAAAATAATTAAAAAATTTAAAAAAAATAATTGAAAGCAACTGGTTTGGTTTTGGTTTTTTAGAGTAAGGGAGCACTGGGCGTGCAGGCGGCCCTGGTCTGGAGTTTCACGGCCTTCTGTCTCCACAGGCCTTGGTTTGTTCCTCCTTCGTTCCTGGTCTGTTCGGCCTCATCCCCCCTTCCTTCAGGGGCGAGGTAAGTGTGCTGGGTGCTGTCCCAGGGGCTGGGGGTGCTGCAGGGCTACTTAGGTAGAATTCTACCTGTCAGACAGGAGACCCGGGTTCAGTCCCCAGCCAGTGCACTTCCCGTGCAGCCACCACCTGTCGGTCAGGGGATGTGTGTGTGTTGCTATGATGCAAGTGGACCTTCCAGACTAAGATGGACTAGGAAGAAAGAGCTGGGGATCTGAATGGAAAAGTCAGCTCATGGGCACCCCGGGGATCGCAGTGTTCCGATCTTGTTGCATGTGGATTGGCCAGGAGACAGGTGGTACCAGCGAAAAGTGCCGAGGCAGGGGGCTTCCTTCCCACAGAGATGGGCACACTCTTCCTGCATGCGCCAGGCTCGGGCACCCAGGGACCGTCCGCGGGCCTGGAGCCTCGAGTCTTGGCCTTTTCCGGCCCAGCAGCCACAGCCGCCATCCCCCCCACCCCACCATGCAGGCTGCCTGGCAGCAAAGCCACTTGGTATCAGTGAGATGAGTGGGAGGCCTGAGAGAGATTAGGAACAGTGCTGTTAGATGCTTATGAATCGGGACTTGTCTGACACCAGGCTATACTTTTAGAGCACAGTGTGTGTGTGTGTGTGTGTGTGTGTGTGTGTGTTTCTAAGGAGCCACTTTGTGCTCTAGATTCAGTGGGGGACTGCTAACTGGAAGGTCAGTGGTTCGAATCCGCCAGCTGCTCGGAAGGAGACAGAACTGCGAAGATTTGTAGTCTTGGAAACGCTGTGAACAGTTCTGTCTTGTCAGATCACTGTGAATCTGATTTTCTGGGCTCGCCTTGCTCAGGGACGGTGTGGTTGTGATTGTGAAATGAGACTGTGCGCACTGCCGGCCATGTACGCAGGGATGGATTTCTGGCTGCCTACTGTGTGGCTCGACCGATCCAGACAGGAGTCACCGTGTTCGCATGGACTCTGACTCCCGGGTCCCATGTGTTCCAGAGTAGAGCTACGTCATGGGCCTTTCTTTTTTTTTTTAATTAATATTAAATTTTATTAGTTTTAATGAACATTTACAGAGATTTTGGGTTTTCATTCATTCATTGTTTCACTGTTTTCTCTACCCTCCTCCCCAGTTCGTTCTTCCCCGCCCCCTGAATGTCTGTTTTAATTGTCCAATTGCCACAGTGCTTGTCAAAGCCAGTTCTGATTAATCTCCTTTGTCAGTGTGTCCTTTGCCGTTCCCTATCACTCCTCCCTGAGAGAGACTTCACCTGATTCATAAGGAAAAGGGGATGGCATATTCTCTTAGCTACTTCCTGCTGAAAAGGAACGCTGTAGGTTTCAGGGTGAAGATCTTCTCTCACTACTCTAAAGGGCCCCTTTGGCAATAGGAAACACATAGACTATTATGGAGATTGATTTTGGAATTTAGATGCAGTCATGGGCCTTTCTAAGCTGTCCTCTTTCTGACTCTAGATAGCCAGCCCTTTCCTCTGTGGCACCTTTGTGTGGGTTGGAATCACCCACCTTTATGTCAGTAGGCTGTGCCTCCTAGGACCTTACTCCTTTTGTGGATTATTTTAAGTCAGATTCTGCCCTGCAGTGTCCCTCTAGAAGGACTACAGAGGACACCCTCCTCCTCTCTGGACGTCCTGGCAGCTGGGCTGTGGCTCTGAGCCCTTCTAAACTCCAGTTTCTCAGGCGGAAGTGCTGTCTTGAGGCAGCCACCCAGCCTGGCCTCAGCTGTGGGAGATTGGACATAGATGGAAAATCTCACCCTCAGACTAGTGTATCTCTAATGCTGTGTGGCTTCAGGGGCGCACTTACAGCATGCACTGCCATCGAGTTGGAGCCAGCTCACAGCTGACCCTCCAGCAGGTTTTCAGGGGCCGTAAACCTCATGGGGGCAGGTGCCCATCTCTCTCCAACAGGGCCGCTGGCCGATTCGAGCTGTAGCGTAAGAGGGTCATCTGGGCCCCAGGTCGGCTACTTCTTTTAGTGTCAAAGGAAATGGAGGGGAAGGTGTTGGCCACCTTATTTTCAAGGGACAGAAGAGGCCCATAGGAACCATGCGTCTTGTCCCAGTCAATCATGGGTCCAGATTTGGATCAAGATCATTGATGATGTCCTTGAAGCCAAGGTCATCTGTGTCTCACACTCTGTCCTAGTGCCCAGAGGATACTTTGTGCAAAACACAAAAGCCCTGCAAGCCCCTGAGTGGACTTAAGGCTTGGCCCACAGAGCTCCGTCTGCCACGTGCCGTGCGGGCTGGACAACTGGACATGGCAGGCCTGCGTGCCAGTCAGCTCGCCAACACACACGTACCCAGCAGGGCTTTGTTGAGGGCGGAGTAGTTAGCCTGACTCGGAAGCTCCTGCCTCCCACCCCTTCACCCTCTTGCGATGCTGGGAAGGCTCTTGTGTACGTTTGAAAGCCCGTGAAATACTGAAGTGACTGACGGTCCCCCTTCTTCTTTTCTCCCTTACAAGCGATATGTGGATGGAGCACTGAGTAACAACATGCCGCTGTCCGAGTGCCAGACCACCATCACTGTGTCCCCCTTTTGGGGGGAGTATGACATCTGCCCCAAGGTCCGGTCCATGAACTTTCTGCACGTGGACCTGTACCGACTCAGCATACGTGTGTGCTTGACCAACATCTACTTGATGCTTAGGGTCTTCTGCCCACCTGACCTCGAGGTGAGCCTGTGTGTGTGTGTGTGTCCTGTTTACCAGGAGGTGCTGTCATTCTGTCCACAGATGCTCTGGTCGCCTCATTGAAAAGACACTCTACTCTGAAGGAAGAGTGTTTGCGTCCTCTGAAGGTCTGCAGATTTTGACCTTCAGGTCACCTGAGGCCTTTGAAAGGCTGTGGAATGCTCAGTCTGCTCTTCTGTTCCTGTTGGGGGCCGTGCAGTGGGCTCCTGCCCTGAGGACAGCACTGATCGCTCCTGTGCCAGCCTCACTGTCATTGCCGTTGTCACAGCCCGTGCGCATTCTGTGTGCCTCCCAACCTGCATCAGACCCAGCGTGACAGCCGTGGCGCCCACCTGAGGGAACGTGTTCTGGCCCCGTCAGACAGTTCCCTTCGCTCTTTGTAATCCTTTCTATAGCTCATTTTCCAGAAGTAGACGGGGCACATCTGAGCCTGCTCATCAGGGGGACTCTGCTGATATTTTAACTTTTTTAAATATTTTGGCTCAGCTTCCGGTGTCACAGTAACACACACACAACAGGCCGTGTGCACTGGCCAGGGTGCAGCCTGGGCATTCAACTTTTAAAAAATGTTTTAAGCCACCCAAGTCATGGTCTTTTAAGTCACTTGCTATGCATATGAGAGCTGGGCAGTGACTAAGGACGACAGAAGCCTCGATGCCTTTGAACTGTGGTGTTGACGTGTGCTGACTATGCCATGAACCGCCAAATAAACCAACAGAGATGTCTTGGAGAAGGTGCAGCCCGAGTGCTTGTTGGAGGCGAGGATGATGAGGCTTCGTCTCACATGCTTTGGTCATGTGACTAGGAGAGGGTATTCCTCGGCGAGGGACGTCATGCGTGAGAAGGTGGAGAGTCGGCGAAGGAGAAGACTCTCAACCAGGTGGATTGACACGGTGACATTTGCACTGGGCTCTTGTGTGTCAGGAGGTGTGAGGATGGCACAGGCTAGGACAAGGCTCGGGTCTGTTATTCTGAGGGTCGCTCTGTGTCACCCTTCACCCGATGGCATCTAACAACAACAGCAGTCATGCAGGTAATTGTCACTTGCAGCCAAGCTCCAGAGCCTCCCACACCACGTGATTTCGTCCAGTGGCACAAATGGTGAAGCTCACAATTACCTGCTGGAAAGTTGGCCGCTTGTACCCACTCAGGGAGGTCCTGGAAGTCAAGTGTCTGAACGGTCACCGGCTCAAAAGCCCCGTGGACTGAGGTTCTTGGCTGCCTTTACGGGGTCACTGTGAGCTAGAGTCGATGTGATATCCACCAACAGCAGTGGGGCTGAGGCACAGAGCTGGGAGTGTGTGTACTGTGGACGCTACGCTTCGCTGCAGAAAGAGTGTGGGGTACTGCAGCACACCAATACCCAAGCCCCCAAGACCGAGAGGCTGCACACAGAATTCACGTTTACATGTAGGTTGTGGAAATCGGGCTTCGAAAGGGCACTCTCTCCACAGCTGTGGCCGTTGCCCACGGGGACCAGAGAAGAAGGACCGTGAGCAGGCATATGGTGGGGACAAGAGAGCCACATAAACCAGCTGCCCAGTCGATTCCGACTCCTGAAGCTGCCACATGTGTCAGAGTGGAACCAGGCTCCCTACGATTTTCAGTGACTGATAATTTGGAAGGAGATTGCCAGGCCTTTCTTCCGAGGTGCCTGTGAATGAACTCACACCTCTCACCTCTCCATCAACAGCCGAGCCTTTGAACCACCCAGGAAGCTAAGTAAAGAGATAGAGGAATAAAGATAACAGAGCCACAGAGGTGACAGTGGGACTTGCCTGGGGAACGGTGGCCGGAGCATAGTGGACAAGGCTTGCAGGAGGAGGCAGTGCCCTTGCACCCCAGAGGACAGAGCCCCTCACTCAGCTGGGCTGTGGCTGGGCGAGTCCAGAGCTTAAAATGACTCTGCTGTCTCTCTCTCTCTGCATGCTTGGCAGGCTGTTGAGGCTCAGGAGCCTGGCACTGCCTCTCTGCAGGAAACGTCTCTGATTTGCTTACAGGTGCTGGGAGAGCTATCCCTTCGAGGCTACTTAGATACCTTCAGATTCTTGGAAGAGAAAGGTATGTACCCAACGGAGACCTGTCGAGATGTCTTCCTACACCCTGCTCTTAGCAGTCTGGGTCAAGAGGAGATTGAATCTTGGCTCTGTCACCCAGTGCTCAGCCCACTCCTGTTTTGTGTTGCTCAGTCTACCCGTGTCTTGCTCAGTCCACTGTTTAACCCGGGGAGAGAGGGGCGTGCAGTCCATTTTGCAGGTGAGGAGGCTCAGGTCTGGAGGAAGCAGCAGGAGCCACACGCCCCCTGGTGGCAGAGCCGAGCTTTGACTCCTTCTTGCTGTGAAAGCTTTTCTGCTGGAACCATTGTAAGGTGCTCTGGTGGCTGAACTGCCAACCCAAAGGTACACAGTTCGAATCCACCAGCTGCTCCACAGGACAAATATGTCTCCTCTTGTGTGATTTACTGCCTCTCAAAACCTGCTGGAGGGTCAGCAATAAGTCAGTTTCAACTCCATGGCACCAAACAAGGGAACCATTGAAAATCTTTTTGAAAACAAACCAAAAAACCCACACACACCAAAAAAGGGGGAAAAAACCCAAAAAACAAAAAACCCAAACCAAAAAAAAACCACCCAAGCCAGACCCATTGTGAGTCTTGAGTCTGAGCCTTGAGTTTAGCTCTTCCGTGGGAGTCTGGTGCTGGTTTCCAGTGGCATAGAACAGGCTTGGAAGAGGACATCATGCTTGGAAAGGCGGAGGGTTGGCGAAGGAGAGGAAAACCCTCAAGCAAATTAATTGACACGGTGACTGCAGCAATGGGCTGAAGGATGTCAGCGATGATGAGGTTGGCACAGGACAGGACGGGGTTCAGATCTGTTGTTGCTATGCGACTATGTGTTGTGCTGGACTCGACCATGCATAACAATAACAGCTGAAGGCCCAGGGTGGAGTCAGGTGCTAGATCTCCTTGCTGCCGTGGGCTTAGCTCTCTAGTGCTGTAACAAACGTATCACAAGGGAGTGACTCTCAACAACAGACATTTCTTTTCTGCCAGCTCTGGAAGCTGACCGTCCACAGTCAGGCCACCAGCGCTGGGACACCGTCTCTTTCAGCTTCCAGCTGCTTCCTGTCAGCTGACCTCAGGTCACCTGACTCCTAGTTGACCTCACGCAAAACAGAACAAAACTCTGCACCATGCCTGTGACTGGTTGTGAACTGAACTATTACGCTCCATGGGCTCTTCATTGGCTAAGTTTCGGAAGGAGAATGCCAGGCCTTTCTTCCTGGTGTGTTAGTCTAGAAATTGCACTGATTCCTGTTCAGCATGGTAGCAATACGCAAGCTTGCACTGACAGTTGGGACAGATAGGCGGTGGCTGTGAATAAGGTGCCTCGGCTGGGGGTCCAACCTGGGTCTCCCTGCAGGGAAGGGAAGGCTTCTACCACTGAGCCACAAGTTTCCCTCAATGTGATGCTTGTATTTTCTGGCCTTTGTAGATGGCTCTGCATATAGTGGGGTCCTCCATAAGCATGTGTGTGTCCCTTTGTATAAAAGTCACCACTCAGAAGGAGTTAGCTTTAGGACCAGCTATGACTCAATGGCACATAACAACAACAACAACATGCTCTGGTATGACCTCATTAGCATAACAAAAGAATATCCCATCTTTACAAACAAGGGCACCTGTTGTTGTGTGTTATTGAGTCTGTTCCCATTCATAGCAACCCTCTAGGACAGAGCAGAGTGCATGGGGTTTTCTAGGCTGCAATCTATGAAACAATAGACTCCATGAACAGCAGGTCTGAACCCTGTCATATTGTACCAGGAAAAGGCTGCAGTCAAGGATCTCTCTAAATTACTGAGGAGCAGTGATGTTAGTTGGAGGACTGAAATGCACTTGATTCAAACCGTGGTCTTTTCATAGTCTTTTACTATGCTGCTGAGAGCTGGACAGTGAATAAGGATAACAGAAGACTTGATGCCTTTGAGCTGTGGTGTTGGAGAAGAGCGCTGAATATCTCATGTCTTGGAGAAGGTGCGGCCAGAGCGCTCCTAGGAGTCAAGGGTGGCAAAGCTTCATCTCACATACTTTGAGCACGTTGCTAGGAGAGGCTATTCTTTCGAGAAGGACATCAAGCTTGCAAAGGTGGAGGGTCAGCAAGAGGGGAAGACCCTCAAGTGGATGGATTGACACAGCGACTACAGAAATGCACTTGAATGTGTTAAAGAAGAATGACAGCAGTGTTTATGGGGGCAAATTACCAGGTCATACTCCCACAGACCTGCTGCGTGGGTTCGAACCACCGATGTGTCAGCTAGCAGACGGGAGCTTAACTCGCACCACACCACCTCCTTTTACAAGTCTGCTTGTTAGGTCTTTGTTCTATTCCTTTGTGCAGGGGTGGAGGGGTTGCTGACACAATTAAATCCATAGCACCTATTTTTCTCTGTTACCAAAAGTTGGTTGGATCATTGGTTGAGTCTCTGAATTAAATTTCAGCCCCGCGAAGATGGTGTGGTTTATAGGATGTGTGTGACCCTATCAACAGAAAGAATGTTTCTTGTACACGTGCTGTGTGCAGGGTGCTGCAGTGGGCAGATGGGGGTGCAGATGACAGGGTTGGGGGCTGGGTCCCCTGCAGGAGTCTACAGTCCTGCAGAGATGACCTGTCAGAGAACAGAGGAGTGACGATATGGGAAGGACCCTGCAGGAAAGTGGAGGAAGTGCACCCAAGGTGCTTCTTGGAGGCAGGGATGGTGAAGCTTTGTCTCATACACTTGGGCGTGTTGTTAAGACAAGCCAGTCCTTGGCCAAAGGACATGATGCTGAGAAAGATGGAAGGTCAGAGAGAGAGAAGGATTCTAGTGACATGGATTGACACAGTGACTGCAGCAGTGGACTCAACCTATCAAAGATGATGAAGATGGAGCCGCATGGGGCACAGTTCAGCTCTGGTGTTCTTGGGGTCACTGTGAGTCGTCGTGGACTCACTGGTGCCTTACAACAACAGGACCACTGTTTGTGTGTTGTGAGGGAGCAGGAGGACGTCAGACTGCCAAGCTCCTAAAGGGGCATTGTTGTCTTAGTTATCTCGAGCTGCTGTAATAGAAATACCACAGCTGATGGCTTTAACAAACAGAAATTTATTCTCTCACAATTTAGGAAATTAGAGGTCTGGATTGGCACCAGCTATGGAGAAGTCTCCCCTTCTTTGTTGACTCTGCAGGAAAGTCTTGTGTTCTTCCAGCCTCCATGGACGCCATATCCCTTAGAGACCTCCCTGTGTCTCAGTGTCATTCTCTCCCTGGGTGTGGGAGGTTCTCAGCCCAGGGACCCTGGATCACACTCTACTCCTGGATCTTCTTTCTTGGTGTGATGAAGTCCCTCTCTCTCTGCTCGCTTCTCTCTCCTTTTACCTCTAATACAATACGGGCAATGCAAGTGACGGCCCAGAAAAACTCTTAAATTAGGCCTGTGACCTGAATGAGGGTGTTGGGCTAACCCTAGTCCCTTTATAATTATCCCTTTATTATAATTTGTTGTTGTTGTTGCTGTTATACCACTGAGTTGAAACCGACCCATAGCTGACCCTCTGGTGGGTTTTCCGAGGCAGTTATTCACACGGGAGAAGATTGTCAATCCTTCTCCCACAGGGCAGTGGGTGAGATTCAAACCGTGTGCCTTCGAGGTTGCAGCACAGCTTCTGGCCACTAGGCCACCAGATCTCCCTAATTATGATATAATACCTTTAATATAAAAAGGTGAAGATAGGTTTACATACAGATAGGATCAAACTTGAAGAGTTAACAGACATGAGGAAGGGAAGGAGAGGGGAACAGAAACTAACAAATCGATAAATAGTTAAAGGGAAAGGCCTTAACGGATTATCAGCTTGTCAGACCCCATAATTCATTGTTGCTGTTGTGTATCATCCAGTCAGAACTGATCTTTCAGAGGGTTGGTTGGTGGTTTTTTTAAAAAAAAATAAATGTTTTGGTTTTTGCTGGTTTACTTACAAAGTTTGTATATATTGTTTTCACACTGAATCTTTCCCATTTCCTTCACCCAGCCCACCCTCCACCCATCAAATTATGCGACCCTATGATTACATCCCTGCCCATCCTCACCCCTCTGCTCTCCCCACTTAGAGCCTCATACATGTCTTATTAGTTCTCTATTTCCAGGGGGGTTTCAGAGGCTGTAAACCGCATGGAGGAGACTGGCCATCGTTCTCCTGCAGAGCAGCTGGTGGATTCGAACTGTGCTTCTTTGGATTTGCAGCACTGCACTTTACCACCAAGCTACCTGAGCTTCCTTGTAATTAAGTACTCTGACTGATTCTATTTAGCATTTAAAACAAAATGTCTATGAATGAGTGAATGAAAAGGCAGTTGTTGTTGTTATTATTATGTGCCATCGAGTCATTTGCGACTCATAGCGACCCTATGTACAAGAGCCCTAAATGCCGTTCTATCCTGTGCCAATCTCACTGTCTCAAACACATTCATTCCCACCACTCCACTCACAGAATCGATCCATCTCATCGAGGGTCTTCCTCTCCTGCGCCGTCTCTCCACTCTCTCAAACGTGATGTCTTTTTCCAAGGACCAGTCGCTCCTTGCAACATGCCCAAAGTATGTCAGACAAAGCTTCAGAATCCTTGACTCCAGGGAACATTCTGGCTTCACCCTCTCCAGGACGAACCTGTTTGTTCTCCTAACAGTCCATGGTATATTCAGCACTCTTCTCCAGCACCACAGCTCAAAGGCATCAAATCTCTTTCTATCATCCCTAGTCACTGTCTAACTCTCCGATACATAGCATGTAATTGCAAAGACTATAGCCTGGATCAGGTGCACCTTAGTCTCCAGCCTGACGTCGTTGCACTTCAGTACTCTTGAAAAGGCAGTAGGATTTGTAAAATAAAGCGAGAGAAAATCTCATACATATAGTGTGCCTGGAGTCCTCCGTTGCCAAGGGAAGGTCATGTCATAACTGGACAGCTGTGAGCCTGCGATGCAGCCCAGCGTGGTCTGAGGCCCAGTCATCCCATGTGAGTCCAGTCCCTGTCCTTACACCCACACAGCTCGCAATGGAGCCGGGAGCAGAGCTCAAAGACCTGCAGACGCCTGCCTGGATCCTGTTGCAGCTGCTCACAGCCAGTGTGTCCCTGGAGACCTCAGGCTTCCCTTCTGATTCTGAGCCTGGGAGTGATGGTCTCTGCCTCACTGTAGCTCACAAGTGTGGCTCACAAGCTTGCTTCCGTGCCCTTGCAGGCATCTGTGATAGGCTGGGACCGGCCCTGAATTTAGCTTCGGAGGAGATAGACTCAGAGGCCAGCTGCCAGGACGAGAGAAGCCTGGAGCCTCCCGGGGAAACCTTGGAGACGAAGCCTGGGGGAGATGAGGTGCTGGATCATCTGCGCCTCAACTTCCTGCTCTGGGATGAGCGCATGCTGGAGATCTTGTCCCCCAGGCTCATGTCAGGTATGTGACCCCAGGGACAAGAGGGCGCTGACGAGGGTGGGTGGCTTCCTAGTGCTTCCGGTACCAGGAATGGTGGCTGAGCACAGCAGGGATTGATCATCTCACAGCTCTGGGGGCCTCTTGTTGTTGTTGTTGTTGTTGTTGTTGTTGTGTACCATCAAGTCAGAACCCACCCACAGGTGACCCCTGGCAGGGTTTTCCGAGGCAGTTAAGCGGAGATTGCCCATCTTTCTCATGCAGAGCAACTGGTGGCCTCGAGCCGTGTGCTTTCAGGATTGCAGCGCAGCTTCTTGCCGCTGGACCATCAGATTCAGTGTCGGTCAGGCCAGGCTCCCTCTGCCAGCTCGAGGGAGCGTCCTTCCTGCCTCTCCGGCTTCTGGTGCCGCTTGGTGTCCCTACTCTGGCTGTCTTTATCCACCGTCTGGCTCCATATGTGCAGTCTCCCCTCTGTCTCCCTCTTCATTTCTCTGCCTTTTTTTAAGGACACCACACTGTTAGCATTAGGACCCCCGAGAAGCCGGGACCGTGGGGCTCCAGTGGCTGGCACGCTCCACGGGCAGCGCTGTCTGACCTCCAGGAACTCCCTCAGGGGGAAGAATCTCCTTCAGTAACACTGATGGCACAAAGCCGAGGCCTATGATGTCAGACATAACACCCTCACACCCACTTCTGTGAATTCTAGCACTAACAGTCCCTCCCACGACTCTCACTACTCTACTGCTCTCCTTGTTGTTGTTGTTAGGTGCCATCGAGTCAACTACATCTCCTAGCAACGCTGTGAACAACGCCTCTGGACCTTGCCCTATCCTGAGCCAACCTCACCATCTCAGACACACTTGACCCCATTGCTGTCGCCACTGTGTCGTTCTATCTTGTCAAGAGTCTTCCTCTCTTTCACTGTTCCTCCACATTTCCAAGCATGATTCCCTTCTCCGAGAACCGGCCTCTCCTGACAACAGCCCATATCTGTGAGATGGAATTTCACCATCCTAGCCTCCAAGGAACACCCTGCTTTCATCCTCTCTAAGATAGACCTGTCTGTTCTCTTGGCAGTTCATGGTTCAATACTCTTCCCCAGCACCACGACTCAAAGGCATTGATTCTTGTTCTATCACCCTTGGTCATTATCCAGCTCTCAGGTACAGAGCAGGCAGGTCAGAAGACCGTGGCCTGGATCAGGTGCACTACGAGGTTTGCTAGTCAGTTGCAAAGGCCACACAAAACTCATAGACCACACTCATGATTGTTGTTGTTGTTGTTGTTGTTGTGTGCTGTCAAGTTGCTTGCGACTCATAGCGACCATCTGTACAACAGCTCTAAACTCTGTCCTGTGCCAATCTCATTGTCTCCAACACACTCATCCCAATTGCCCCAGTCACCAAATCAATCCATCTCATAGAGGGCCTTCCCCTCCTGTATCTGCCCTCCACCCTCCCAAGCATGATGTCCTTCCCCAAGGACTGGTCCCTCCTTACAACATGACCAAAGTATGTCAGATGAAGTCGCAGAATCCTTGCCTTGAAGGAGCCTCCC